CCATCTTTCGGTGCCGCACACTGAAGGAAAGCTATTAAATATTTACCGTTAAGTCTCTCATAGCTTAGCCTCTGACACTTTCCTTTTCACTAGAGAAAAGGATTATTTAGCTCATAATTTTCCACCAAAAGACAGTCAGTTGTGGCTGTCTGGAAGGGAACGGCAGCATCCTTGGCATTGCCTGGGAGGGGGAGCTTGTGTCAACGCACGCCAGGCACAGAGAAGTCTGCACCTCCCCTGCTCCTCTCCAGCAGTGGCAGCACAGGGTGACGCCAAGGCAGGAGTCTTAGAGTGTCACTAGAATGTTTGTGACAGCAAAATGAGGCACACTCATGTTACAGCACTTTCCAAAACTAAGCCACTACATTTGGCGAATCCTTTCCAAGGAGGCTGATCAGATTCCCTAAGTGAAGATCAAATGAATGTTGTGAATGCTCCAGTGAAACTTGTTGACCAATACCATGCTCCCGTGCATTGCATTTAAAAAAGATGACCATTTGTATAAAATAAAAATAGGCTTTGAGTCTATTTTCACCTGTGAACTGAGCACTGCAGACAATAAGATCACGGCCTAGTGTGTGCAGGAAAGCCAGCCAGTTAAAGATGAACTTTGACTGGCCCAGAATTGAAATGCCTGGGGGCAGCTGTGTCGCTCAGGTAACTGATTAGAAACTGATACTGAAAAATGGCTTAAACTCCAGGAAGTCACAAAGATTATAAAACAAAGCAATGTCTTCTTCCACCACAACCCAGGTTGTTACAGAGTATGATCACAGCTTTCCATAGCGTTGTCTAGCTCTGTATAAGCACCTAAAGTTGTAGAACACTGCCTTGTTTGCCTGAATCCCATCATGCCTCATGGAGTTCTGCTGGGTAACTGTGCATGGTGCCGAAGAAATTTCTTTTCTTCTGCTTTCACTGCATCTCTCTTCTTCAGCACAAGAGAATCCACTTCCTAGAAGGAAGCAGACCTGATCTGGAGGGTCCCATACCTTTCCACACCACTGGATCCCACGTCTCTTTCTGCAGATACTTCAGCCCCCTGCCACTTGCCTGCCCACATCCTTTAACTTCCCCAAAGCAGCCCGGGGAGGGACGCTGCAGGCTCTGGAGAACTAAGCAGCCAGACATTGAAAATGAGCAGTCAGAAAATGCAGTGTTGCACTCAAGCCAAGACAAGTTCTGGCTGCCTGATCAATCTCCATCCTAATTTTGAGATTGCACGTGAAAACATAGCATGGACAACATGGTAAGAACAAATTTAACAGGGAGTTCAGGGAAGGAAGCTGTCAGAAAAAAACCTCGACATCCACAAATTCCTGAACCCACAATGGGATGTCTACGTGGCTGAGACATGCAGGATTCCACTGAGGAGAGTACTGTGCACTAGATGCTCACTGAAGTGCTATGTTAGTGTGCCTTGAAGAGTACAGATTGATGGCACTCAAAGAAAAAATGAAGTTATATACTAGAGAAGTGCAGACTCTTACTATATAGGCAGGCAAGTACAAATGGGCACTCTTAATGCTTCTTTTCTGCTACGCGTGATGTCTTGCAATTTGATGTCCCGCACAAGTGCTGTCACTATGTACAGCTGTTCTTGACAGCCAAAGAAAAAATAACCAGTTCCCCACTCGGAAAAAGAAACCCCATGGGGAACTTAGGTGTGACAATAAAAGTGAGTAACAGCAAACACTGTCTCAAACTGTCATGTTGTAAACAATGCTCATGAAAACTTCATGGCCAGGATCAATAAAAGGAAAGGCCATTGCTCTTGAGAGCCAAGAGCCACTGGAAAAATAAAAAGCTTTTGGTCTCAGAGTGTTTATGTCTAGATTATGCATTCCACTGATTCTTCCATGGCCTTACAGACCAGCGAGTTCACTTCTACTTCCAGCGCTGCAGCAGCGAAATCAAGCCACAGATTGCCTGGTAACACATTCCACGACCTTGAAACCTATTCCTTAGAGCCATGTGACTACATCACATAAATGTCCAAGACCACCAGAATCTAGGGCTTAAGCTGTCCCATCACAACAGTCAGTTTCCTAACGCACATACATGCCTCTTCCATTTGAAAGGATTTCCAGTACCTCCAAACTTTTATGCAAATCAGATAACTGAGTGTACCCATCTCTATGATCTTTATGGAAACTAGCTTTGTTTTTCCATAGCAGTAGAACACTCCAGTGTCACTGCTGTAAGCCATGTCTAAGAAAGTAAAAATGATCTCTCAGCACAGTCATTTTCCTCGTAACTAAGTCCCAGGAGATTTTGCCTTTCTCCTGTTTTGCTCTTATTTGGTTGAAAGTTACTATCACTAGTGACTGCTCCCGTATTTTTCATTTTAACTATTCTCACCAATACCATCTCTGTAAAATCATTTTTCTTGGAAAAAAAGAGTATATTTCATTGTAAATTTTAGGCAGGTGACAATCTTTTTGTACTTAGGTAAATTAACCCCTTTGTGACTAGGAAAAACGATTTTTCAAGGTCTGTCATACTGAAGAAGAGATTCTATGAATTGTATAAGTTTAGAGCAAAAGCATAATATGTGAAGGTTCTCACGTGCTAACAAAGAAGCTGTCTGACCTATCTGTACTTAATAATATTTCATATCACTTTATGCCAGTTTTCTTCTTTTCAAAATGGATCTCAACTATCTACCTCTATTATCTATGCAAGCATATTTCAGTCTGTGGAACACTCTTACTGCTTACTTTGGCTGTTCGTTATCCATGTAAGTTGATTATCTGAATCACATACTATGGTTTTGCAACCAAGGGACAAGGCAAGCCTTAATAAAATAAAAGAAACAACAGACAGAGCAAGAAAACAATAAATAAGGAGACTTCCATCAGAATTATGTGGACAAAGAATAATGTATACAATAAGTAAAGCTTTAGCAATCTGAAAATACTTTAAGAAAGAATAACAATTACTTAAAGCACTAAAAAATAAATAAGCTGTCCTGGATGCTGTAAAACACTTTTTTTTCCCCATGATGTGGTCACTAGAGTTCTGGTGTTGTAATTTAGACGTCAGCAAGTACAAAAGTAGAATTACTCACATGAAATATTCCTGCCAACATTTGATAAAAATTACTGTTTTAGGTCACTTGCATCTGTGATACTTATTAGGATAATCTATTTTTGTTAGCCACAGATTTTGGAAGTGATGGTTTGTAGTTTTAAATTCCGGGCCATAGAACCAGTCACTGGACCACTTTTCAGATCCAATATTCAGGAAAATTAACTCCGAATGTGCAACAAGACAAAGCACAATAAGAAACACTTTCCTTCAATACAAAAACATGAGGTTGCAATAGAAAAGCAGTCACGAGTTCTAAAATAAATTATCAGAAACTATTTTGCTTAATTTTCAAATACAATATAATCCAGAACATTGTAAATCTTCTAAAAAATATATCATACATATATTCATAACATTGCTAGCATTCATTAGAATGAAACAAAAAAGAAGCTGGAGTGGGCCATAGGGTGAGACTTCAACTACACGCATCAAGATAATGGCCCATGTTCCCTCCGACAGTTTTGGAAGACCATTTTCTGCTGGCTTCTGATATAAAGCCCATTTCAGTACATTTAGCATTAGGCTCCTGGTCTCTTTAACTTTGGCTGAAAATCTTGCCTAAGCATACTAGAAGCACACATGCTCATCATACAAGGTGGCAGAAATCGTTCCATGCATCTCTTTACCTTCCTTGCATTCACTGAAACACCTAGGCCACACCCTTTGAGAAAATCTCAAAGAATTTTCTTTTAGAAAATCTCAAGGATTTTTCTTTCAGAAAATACAGAGCATCTGAAAACGTTAAGCACTTGAAATCAAGCATTTTTTTCCAGGATATATACAGGTTATACATTTCCAGGAAATACATAAACCTACTGAATGCTCTCACAGAAGCTAACACACACACTGCAAGTTTGTGCACTTAGTTTATGAGTTATCTGGAACACCCCCTTAAAGACAAAGATAGGAGTTACAAAGCAATGTGGGAAATTCAGCCCTACATTTTGCTTTAGAGTACCCTGCTCTGTCTGGCAAACCTGAGCTAAAGGTCTTTTCCCCTTAGTTGTTCCTGACACTGCTTAGCTCTACCGCACATCTACGTATGAGATTTTTCTGGTATATTCTCAGAAATTGTATTTCTACATTACAACTTGCTTTCTGCACCAGTCTTTGCCTAGGCTATGTAAAAATTATCTTCTCCATGGCACAATAAAAAGAGCAATTACTTTCCTTTATATAATTATGAAGCTTTAAATATTAATGTAGCTATTACAGAAAATCTCTGTGCCAGGTTATCTGACTCGACAGCAAGTTTCCTTGGAAGCAACATTAACCAGGAAAAATAGAGACCTGTTATATGAAGAGATTCTGCTTTCTGAATGGTAAGACAATTTTAACACATCTCTGTGAGAAAGTCTGCCCTCTCCGTGTTCTACTGACCTCCTCTCCTGCCCTCAGGCTGCACTTCTTTTTATTCTGTCAGATGCAGAGAGGCCACTTGCAAACTCACAGGTGTCAGATCACTAATACAAATTCTCAGCTTGCAGTGATTATTCACTCTGTGAATGACAGGTTCCTCCCACGCACTCATAACACTCATTATGATGGGCATTTCTGGAACGATTGCTCATAAATTAACCAAAGCTGTGTGCTGTCCACATGGGAATAAGCAAAAGAAACATCACTGTTGGATTTTTTAACAGAAGCTTGAATGGATATGTGATTCCACCTGTATTCAACACGCTAAATTCATCACAGATACTCAATATATCAACCATGTTGATTTCGACAAGAATCTGTCCTGATTTCTACAAGACTCAGAGCAGATTTTGGCTTTCCATCTCTAACCTGTGCCATGAACACTTCAAAGAAGTCTAACAGATAGAGATAAAACACTTATATCCCTTAGCCACGAGTTTCACAGGATGCCCTTAGGAATGCAAAGACTTCAACTTTTATCAACATACTTCTGGAGAGTGAGGCTCAAGTTGTGGCTGGCTGACTTGATCTTGTTCTGGGCCTCTAAGTGGGTCATGCTGTCAGTGTTGACTCCATCAATGGCTACCACAAGGTCCCCTTGGTTCATCTGCGACTGCGCTGCCTTGCTGCCAGGGGTGATCTGTGATGGGGAACAAAGAAAAGAGTCACACCAGGGTAAGTCATTCGGTACACAAAGTCCTTACAGAGGAGTAGCCCAGAATTATAATTATGAATAGATAGAGCAAGAACTATTGTAATAGATACAACACTGGCTGTATTTATTATAATATGGTTGTAACAACAAAATTTATGGAAATTAAACAAACTTGAAGTTGACTCATGTTTCTACAAAGGTCCAGGACAACATCTACTTGCCATTGCTTCCATTCTGAGAGGTTAAACCCAATGTATTGCTTCCCTTAGTACACATCAGCTACTCCTTAAGGGGATAATTATCACTATTTATATTGGAGTAGTATATAGAGACATTACTCAGAAGCGGAAAACTAATGAACCACCATCTATTGCATGATTTTATTGTATTTTTCCTTCTAAAAGCCATTTTTCCCAAATTAACTCATTTTATTGAGTGGACAGAAAATGAATGTGTGTGAGGAGTGTTGGGGATGCTTTGATTCTTTTATAGTGATTTTTACAGGAAATCATTCTGCTTAACCTCATGCACATACAACTATTGCTCCATCACCAAGACAGATTACTATGTACCTGAGATGAACTCCTCAACCTGTTAGAGCTGACACCCCAAAGACAGACCAGCACTTGTAGAAGCAAGAAGCCACAACACTTCAACTACAAACCCAACTGCTGAGACAACAGTTCAGAAATTCTGGTTGTTCACTAAGGCATCACATTTTGTTAGCCCCAGAAGCTTTCTAAATTGCACCTTCTCCAAACGGATGGTATCCTGACCTCAGTTTTACACAGTCCCCTCGTCTTGAATCTGGGTGACATTGATATCGTACAGCTCCTTATGAAACTTGACTCTGTCAGGGTACTCCAGCAAAAGCAGAAAAGTCTTGAAATAGAATCAGCGAGGAAAATTTTAGCAAGAACATCAGAGCTGCCCTCTGCTTTCAGCACTCAGGACTTAAGGGGTATGGACACAGGCTATAGGTTTTTGGTCTTATTTTTAGGTACTCACTTCCTTATGTTCCTCACTTCTAAGAAAATCCAAGGATAATCTAAATTACTACAACAGAGGTTCCATTCAAAAACTCTGTTCCTTCAGCACAATGAACATAAAAGAAAGATGGGTTTGATTATGAGCCAGAATTACCCTGTGAATTCAGCCATGCTGAAACCATGAAGTTTAATTCCTAAGCAAACCAAAACCCAGCACAAATCCAAACGCTCTCCCTCATCAAGTGTGAAATTGAATTCTTTAACCTGTCTTCCCTAATATGACCTCAAAACACCTAAAAATACATGCATGCTCAAAACACGAAAGTCCTTGCAAAACAATTCCCTAGACTAAAACCTCGTATCCTTCCACTGGCAACAATGAAGAAGAAAAAATAAAACCAGAACCTTTCCTAACATGCTGTTAAAGGCGCTCAATAGTGAGCCCAGCAGCCTAACTGACTGTAGTTTGACAGCGGGAGTTGTCAATTTACTAGTACACGAGCTCCAGTATCAGGGTGCTAGAAGACAGCACCTTAAATACCCAGACACTCTACTTAAAAACAGAGATTCCTTTGGAATTAGGCACCGTAAATAAGATCCTAGCACTGATGTGACAGGAAGAGACAGCTTTCTATACCTCTTCATCAGAGGTAAAAGCAGTAAGGGTGCTGTTTCCTGAGCGAAGAGCAGCTACGGACATAATGTTCTCGCGGAGAGCAGAGGTAACTGATAACAGCAGTGCCACTCCCTGATGTTTTCCTGGTGTTAAGGAACTGAGGGGTGAGGCAAATACTTCATGATAGTTTCAATGATGGAGTTTTATTCTGCAGTCTTAACGCACTCTCGTAGAAAGATATTAGCAGAACCAAGAGATTCATATTACATGCACAGTTTTTCTAACCTGTTACGCAAGCATTAGCTGCTATGCATTTCTTGACTTGCACTGTGCAGAATACACAGAATCCAGAAGCCAGGAAAGCATGTGGGTTAGTTGCATAGCCACGTGTACTTGTGTAGTTACTGAAAGACCCTTCCCTGCTCAGTCCCCAAAATACATCAAGAAACAGAATCTGCCATAAAATGAGAGGTCAGGAAAAGGTAAAATGTGAATCAAAGCCAAACATAGATAAAAGAGACTTGAATTCATCAAGGAGGACACTTAAATCATTCTCAATTTACCCTTTTCTCTGTTAAATAAACTATTTGCCAGTCAGGCAGACAACAAGACTTGAGTCTTCTTAATAAAGATTTTTTAATAACTAATCTTCACACATCACTTTTCTAAGATACCACTTTTTACCTCCCCATGAAATGTTCTTGACACAAAACATTAACTGTATGATGCTGATACTTCCAGTCTCCAGGCAACTCGTTCCAAACGTGGGGAACTCTCCCTTCTGCTCTTCAAGAAGACTAATTTTGAAACATCAACCCAGTTACTGAAAGACAAATGCCTGACCTAATTTGGGAATTCTTACTTAACAAATACAACTCTACTTGCGCTCCTCAGTGACACTTCAAACAAAATAAGCTCAGAGAAGCACACCTTCCACAGAAAAGATGGGTCTAGTTTATCACAGCTGTAACATACTGACTTCCCCCTCAATTTCTCTGATTTCTGCTTTTTGCAGCCACAAATTTAAATGTTATACCTTAAAATAAAGATAGAGCAGGTAACCACAACTGTCCTAGAATTAAGAGTCAAATTTAGAGGAGGTTAGTTATAACTAGTGATTTCACTTACTCTAAGGGCTATTTCCTGCCTAACACTTTTAGAAAACTTCACCTAAATGAAAAACATTTTAATCAGAAGAATCTATCAAACAAAGTCCTGGGTAATTTTGAATTTGGGATTTAAATGAATTCCTAACCATGGCCATTGCAACATCCTTTCTGAGGCAAAGAGCCACAGCAGAACAGTACTGTGAAAGAAAAGGCAACGGCCTCAGTCATAGCTTACCAGCCAGTGTTCCTTTATTTGAAAAAGAAACAAAAGAGATTTGTAGTCATCTCTTCAGCTAAGTACAACGATTACAAATTCTGGGCTGGATTCCTTCATATAGTTCTACCTTTCCAATTTCCATTTCAGGAGCCAATACTCCATTGATGTCACTTCACCTTTAAAACTCAGCTTATCCTAGCTTCAAAGACAGTAAAACTCACACGCATAAAAGATGGATCTACTTTAATGTATCTCTAATTCAGAACCACACGAAGTCTCAGGAAAGAATTGCTTCTGCCCAGAGTCTTTCCACTGGCAAAAGCCATGCTATGTAGATTGTTTGGTTCTGTAGATCTTTATACAGAAAGTATTATTAAGTTCTGGAAGCATAATCTGTATAAAATATTCAAATCAAAGTACAAAATCATATCTATTTTTGTGAGAAGCTAATAGGCTTCTCTGTGAGACTTTCAAGTGAAGCCATAGCATGCACGCAGAGCAGACATTGAGAACAGTCGGTAATTGTTGGGGACAAGAGCCCAGTGTACAGATGGGGATATAGGGCAGCCAGATCTGAAGTGTCAAGGCACATTCAAGACTATCTTGTTCCCGTTTTTAAAGATTCAGCAGAAAGGAATGGAATGCAAAGTGTTTATCTGCTGGGGCTTTCCTTTGAAAATTCATCTCTGATATACTAAACATTTACTACATACAATCACAGAGAAGATGTCACTGTGTCTCTGTGAAATCTTCAGGGATTATTTTCTATTTAAAAAGTTTTTTTAAAAAATGTTTTCAAATGAAGCATGAATGTTAATAACTCTTGGATTTAGACTGCAAATTTAGATCTAGCTTGCTCTCATCTCAGCTTCTATGAACACAAGTAACAAAATTGGAAAAAATATAGTATTCTCTAGGTCAAATAAGTATTTTTCAAATTGACCACCATTTTTTTTCTTCTTAAAACATCTCTAGGAAAGATCTAGAGAGAACTATTCCAGAGAATATTTGTAGTATCCTTAACTCAGTCTGGATGACAACATAGCTTTCAGATGCTAGGTATTTCAAACGCCTTTATTTATGGCTACAGTGAGACCTTCACCAGAGACTCAAGGTATAACCATTTCTATCAATTGACTTACAGAATCCAAGCCAGGGTATCACTGACAGATCTATTTTAATAATATTTCTTTAGCACCCTAAGCACAGACTTCACCTTGCAAAACCAAGCATCTTTCACCTCTCTCTGAAAAGCAGAGGAACACTTGCTACTTCAAAGATGTGAATTTTCAGCCCTCACAAATTTCCTACCAGGCAGACATCTGACTTCCAACACTCCCAGCTCAAAGCAAGTGGGCAGGCTGGAAGTACCACACGTTGCTTTCAGTGCCCTACAGAAAATTCTTACTACGCACTGCTGTGAGCAGATCTATACAGTGGGTGAATACATAGTACGACAGTGACAGCTGTGCCCTATAAAAAAGCCTGCCCTGGGTTCAGAGTGAATACTACTTCGAAGGAGCTCTGGGAGGCAGCGTACAAAGTGCAGCTGCTGCCCCACCTGGAGAGCAGCATGTGTTCCCATTCAAGCCCCCTCAGCTACACTCCAGAGAGGGAGAGACAGGGATCAGGCAGCTTTTGAGTGGCTGACTGTTACAATACTAATGGGAATGCTTATATTAACAGATGGATGGACACAGTTTTCCTGCCCCGAGGAATTCCTAATTTACAAGGCAGATAAAAACCCATAGGGAGGCCTATACAGCTGAGAAGGTGCTAATATGGCAGCTTGCTCCATTAGCCAGGGCCTCTTCTTTTTCCAGGACCTGAGCTATGCCTGACCCCCTCCTGACCCACAGCTCCAAATCAACAAGCTCTATTCTTCAATTCTCATGTAAGAAGAGCACTGCAAAGAATCAAGTTTGTGCTAGCTCTAGAAATATGTTTAAGCACTGGGAATGAATACTCTATCCTCTTCAGGTTGTCTGGAACAGAAGAAAATATTAAAAGATGTTCCTTTCCATAGTCAGAAAAGCTAGAAATCAGAGACTGGA